GAACTTCTTTCTGTATTCCCTGTTGAGACAAATAGTCATTCATTTGTCAGTTCAACAAACATTTCCTGATTGCCTGCTATGTGCCAGCCACTGGGGAAACAAGTATGAATAAGACCCGTTCCCTACTTCTACCAGTGGTTTCTGAGTGGGGGTAGCTACCACCACACCTGGGGGCATTGAGGTGCTTTTGTTGTTGATGTCATAATGACTGGGGGCACTCCTGGCAGAGCCCAGGGTCACAAAAATTTTCCAATGCAAGAGGTACTCCTCAATGGGAAGAGACCATCCAGCCACCCCACCCCCACCTCACCCACAGGGCTTCCTGGTAGAGCTTGCAGTCTAATCGAGAAAAGAGGAAGAATGGGAAACATCCTGTCACATGAGAGATTTTGTAGCATTTCATGGCCCAAGGGAGGCATCAGTATTCCACCTTGGGGTCATTGTGGTGGGAATTTCTGTAATACGCCAAAGAAAGGCTTTGACCCAACAAAGGAGTCTCTAATTTAAATGAAATGATAAAACCAAAAGCCAAAGAACCAAATTATAGTTTATGATGAAAATTACTATTCCTCATTTTTATGATAAATCACAAAAAGGTAGGTGAAGATAATAGAATATGGCATTCCAGTTCTTTCTCAAAGGAATTTAAGTTCATTATAGCTCTTTTGTAAGTGCCCAAAAACCATCATGGAATGATTGTTGCATTTTTCCCCAATCTGCTTTTTGGGGAGAAAATATCAAGAGGGAGGAAATTTTCCCCCCACAGAAGTCATGTGAGTGGAAGAGCAGAGGGTAGCATTTAACTAGATCAGGGTTCATCAATTTGCATGACTGACATTTTAGGCAGAAGAGTTCTTTTTTGTGGAGACTGTCCTGGGATTATAGGATGTTGAGCAGCATCCCTGGCCTCTGCCCACTAGATGCCAGTAGCACCGCCCCCCCAAGATGTGACAACCAAAAATGTCTCCAGACATTGACAAATGTCCCAGAGGGAGGGATGCAAAATTGCCCCTGATTGAGAGCCATTGAACTAGATCTTGTTTTCATCCCCCTCAAGCCCAAGTCAGACATTCAGAGTCTATCAGAATTTAGCCACACTGGCTTTTTAGGTGTGTGAAGAGTGTAGTTTAAAAATGTCCACTGGCACAGGGGTGCCTGGGTGGCTCAGTGGGTTAAGCATCCAACTCGATTTCAGCTCAGGTCATGATCTCAGGGTTGTGGGATCGAGCCCCCTGTTGGGCTCAGCCCTGGGCATGGAGCCTGCTTAATATTCTCTCTCTCACTCTCCCTCTGCCCCTCCACCACCACCCAAATTGTGCTCGCTCTGTCTTAAAAAAAAAAAAATTGTCCACTGGCAGTGAACTCTGTCTTTTTCATGGGCAGAGGGAACCACTGGAAGCTATGTTACCAACTGGCTCTCTCTTTCTAGAGACAGGAGTTGGCATTTCATGCTGTCTTCCCAGCATTGTGCTCTTCTTCCTGCTGATTGCTCAAAGGAGAACCTACAGGAGCCTCAGGGATAATGACAATTTCTCTTTTACCTCCATAGCAGAACTCCCAGGTGTATGAGTAATGCTGTCACCTGAAGCATCTTTTTAAATCTCCAGAGAGAGCTACAGGAAATTACAGTGTATTGCAGGGAATGGTGATGCTGAAGAGGAAAGAAAGTCCTCTTCTTGAATAGAAGAAAGAAAGGAAGGAAGGGAGGGAGGGAGGGAGAGAGGGAGAGAGAGAGAGAGAGAGAAAGAAAAGAAAAGAAAAAAAAAAGAAAAGAAAAGAAGGGAGGAAGGAATTATGAGCAAGATAATTCTGAAGCCAGCTTGATTTAGCTCCTTTTCCACTGGAAACTTCAGGCCACCCTCATGCCTCAAGGGTGTGTGCCTGGGATCTGGTTTGTCCCATGTGGTTAGTCCATTTTAAGAATGATGCCACACTTGGGTCGCTCTTTTCTCCACGGTTGCACATCTGGGTTCAGTGGCCACCCCCCCTTCCCCCTGTTGGTCCCTGGTGAGAAGGAACTTGCCCTTCCTTCCCTGTCCTAGAGCTCCGAACTTCTCCTTCTGCAGGAGAGGAAAGCTGTTTGGGTAAGAAGCAGTATCAGTGTGGACGTTGGTGTCTTTATTTGTCTTGCATTCAGCTTTGAGTGTCCACGGCTTCTCCAAGTCTCCCAGCAAAGTTTGGCTGTGCTAGGGAAGATGGAGCTTCAGAAAGCTTTTTGGGGACTTGAATGAAAGTGACAGAATTTCCCCCTGCCAACAAATCACCACCAACTGTTACCTCCAACCTACAGAAAGGGATCGGAAAATAGATGTAGATGATGAGTTGAAATTAAGAAAAAAAAACCCACTTTCTGTTTTATTTGCATACAAAAAATTGAAACAATTCATGATTTGGGTGGAGTGGTGGTGGTAGTTTGTGTTCTTTGGATGCTTACCCTTTGCCAGCTACAGTAAACACTTTATATGGAATATTTTACTTAAGTTTCCCCCAAAACCCTAGATAGTGGATTCTGATATTATCCCCATTTTATAGATGAGGACGTTGAGGCTCTGTGGGTTTTAGGAGCTTGTACAAGATCTTAAGGGGCAGAGATTTAAGTCAGGTGTCTTTCTCATAGAAGACTTGGCTTCTGCCAACCATGCCCTACAACAGTGCTTTTCCCCCTTTAGTGTGAACCCCCCAGAGGCTGCGTGAGCACTGGGATTGCTGACCTCACTCCAGAGTTTCTGATTCTGGAGCGAGCTGAAAACTTGCATCTCTCACCAGTTCCCCTGATGATGTTGATGCTTCTGGTTTAGGCACCGCACTTTGAGAACCCTGACACCACATCCCACTTTTCAGAAAATAGTATAAGCACCGACTTTGAAAATCTGGAATGAAAATGACTGAGGTTGGAACTGAGCACTGACTTTAGACCTGTGCACAGAGAGATAACAGCCCGGTTTCTACAGCATCTCTTCTGAGAGCATGGTGTCATGAGACAAAGATAATTGACCTGTTGGAGGTTTTATTCTGGTATTCCCTTTGCTGCCCGACATTTCCGAGAATACAGTCACACTGCATCGTTAAATAAATGTACCACCTCCATTCACTCATACTAAAACTCCATTTTTGAAGTTCAGTAGTTTTCCATTAGAAGGATGACATTTCATTTTCAAACTACACTTAGTTCAGTTTCTTTTGATTCCCCAAGACCTAGTATATGCTGATTTTGTGGAAACACTGTGACCATTGTGTTGGAAAACATCATCAGAATGCATACTCATGAGCCCATAGGGTAGACTTACCGCAAGGAATTGTTTCCAAATCTTGGATCAGGTCTTGTGTCCAATGAACCAATTCAACAAAAACTCTTAGGTGATTTTATTGGTAATAAGAATAAGTAAAAAGTAATAAGAGAAATGTCATTTAAAAGTTTCCTGATTATGGGTACTTCCAAAACAATAGGCACTTTGAGAACACATTTTTGCGTTCTGAGTTTCACCTGAAGTAAGATTCCAAAGGCACATTTGAAACCTGAAATAACGCTAAATCAGCTTGTTGATAATCTGTTCTGAAGCCTTCTGTGCTAGTTCAGGAGAAAGGCTTTGGCACCTTCCCTCTCTGCCACTTAATAGCCAAGATAACAGCCCAGGTGTGAAACCACCAATAAAACAGACAATTGTCCTACAAATGGATTCAGGAAAAAAACAACATCTTGAAATTTGCTGCAGTGCTTTTGCTATAAGAAATGTTATACTAAACTATCATATGGAACTGAATTCCACACACATTCTAAAGGGAAACAGAGACTGGTGGTATGTGGGGCTCCGTGAGCTCCTTGGGCTCCTTTTCCCAAATGCCTTAGGCAATATCAGTTCCACGGGGAGAACTTTAAAACAACAACAACAGAACATTAATCATCTGGTGACTTCATGAGTGGTCAGTTTCCTTCAGTTTTGAGGTCAGGAATAAACTACCTGTGTGCTGTTTTGTGCTAGCAGCCGCAGCTAGACATATCCAGAGGGTGAATTTTCCAGAACCAAACCAAGGATTCTTGTGAGCTTCTATTTTCCAGCACATAGTAACTGGAAGCTATTTGCTAAAGACCAAGACCACTCTTTGTTTTTCTCATGAACCGACTGCTGCATTGGAATTAGCACAGTGCAGAGATGAGGGAGCCTGCCCTCTGGCTGGCAACAAGGGGCAGGTTGGCATTTTCTTGGAGACGCTCAAATGAGGAGCAGAGGCGGGTTGTGCAGCCTCGCAGACACTGTTGCTCTGAGACTGTGTCTTCATCTCCTGCCTCCAGCACAACCAAGGAAAAGTTCAGGGCTGTTCCCCCCAGGGAAGTGGGGTCCAAAGGGATGCTTCGGAGGATTTTTTTTCCCTCCTGCATCTGTGGCTGCCCAGAGGTATTTATCAGCGTGTACAAAGCAAAGCCCCTGTAGTGTAAAGTAAGATGCTCCCCAAAGCGGTTTAGGAGACTTGGGCTGGTGTATATGTGTGTGTGTGTGTGTGTGTGTGTGTGTGTGTGTGTGTGTGTCTGCAGAACGTGCAAGCAAGAGCGCTGAAATGCAGCTCTCGTCTTTGCCTGCAAAGGGTCTTTCCACGTCCCCCTCTGCCCAGCGCACTCGGGGAGCGCCAGGGGGAGTCCTCGCAGGCCAGGGCTTCCCGCGCCCCGGGAGCGCGGAGGGTTCGCCTGGCGGAGCTTAGCGCAGCTCGCTCGGCCCTGCCAGCGAGCGCAGCGGGCGGGGGTGGACACTGGGCTTCTGTGTGCCGGCCGCAGCCGTTGGCTGGCGGGCGCCCAATCCCGGGGCATGCCGCCGGAGGCTGACCAGGACGCACGGTGAAAGACGAGTTTGGTGGCAGGCTTGACACCCCCCGCTACCCCCGTCCCTCCGGGCTGCCCTCAGAAGCCGGCGGCTGGAGCCTCGGCGGTCGGGCCCGCGGCGGCGGGGCTAGGCTGGGCTGCAGCTGCGGGAGCCGGCCCGCCCCGGGGTCCCGGGGAAGGAGGCGGCATGGCTTCGGTGTTCATGTGTGGAGTGGAGGATCTGCTGTTCAGCGGCAGCCGCTTCGTGTGGAACTTGACCGTGTCCACGCTGCGGAGATGGTACACGGAGAGACTGCGGGCTTGCCACCAGGTGCTGCGGACGTGGTGCGGGCTGCGGGACGTGTACCAGGTGAGCCAGGGCGCGCGGCGCCCCGGGGCCCTGGCAGGATGCCGGGCGCTCTTGGGAAGCCGGTTCCACCTGTATGATTTGCTTCTCTCTCTCCCTCCACCTCTCTTTTTTCAAACTCCTAGCGGGCTGCTTGACTCCTGGGTCAAATGTTCAGCATCTGTGGATAACTGTTGCCTGACAAAGCTTGTGATTTTTCCCCACTGGGCACGGGGACACTTGCGAGTTAGTACCAGCATTTGCAGACATCTGTTACAGAGCGATGGTGTACTGCCTGGCAGTTAGCTAAGAAAGCTGTTGCTTTGCAGCAGAGAGTCTGCGGGAAGCGACTTAGACGTTCAGATGATTCCTTTTTCGTTTTATTGGGGTGGATGGCGAGGGGAGCATTTCAGGACCAAGGATTTCACACCAATTTTCGGTCAGAGGGGCCTTGCTAGATTTGCATTCTTTCTTTTGATTTTATTTCAGTTTTCCATCAGGCAGCCCCAACTTGCAAGGCAGAGCCAGGAAAAGCTGATTCTGTGTCTGCTGGCTTTTGGAGGAAGGACAGCAAATTGTGAACACTGCAGGAGGATGATGGTTAGGGTAGGGAGGGGTTGCCTGGTGGAAGGTTGGAATGCTTACCTTTGGGTTTACTCCCCTCACACAACACAGCCTCTTTATTTCTCTGCTAGGTCCCATTCTGCAGGCAAAAAATGCAGCAACTTTGTTCAACTAGGAGACCATTCATGTTCTCTGGAACTGCAGCTTCCCTGGATTTTTTTTTTTTTTTTTCTTTTTGACAGTCATTTGTGGATTTAAAAGTCCTTTGCTTGGGTTGGTTAATATCTTCGAGGTTTAAAAAAAAATCTGCATTGCATTTAGGAAGATTATACCTAGGGTTTACTATGGGACTATATCATCCCATTTCCTTCCCTGTGATGTGGAAATAGCTCTGTTACAGCTCCTGGATTCCCCCTACCTGACCGCATGCCCACTATGGCTATCATTTATATCTCATTGTACTGAGTCCTCTATGTGATCAAGCCTCTGGTTTTGACAAGCTGTAGTCTTCCATCCATCAAGCAAAGTGAAAAGAGCAGCACCTGAGGTTAAACGGCGGGGGGGGGGTTCACGGCAGGGGGGTTGTAAAGAATCAGCATCCCCTTGTCATCGTTGATGTCCATATCATCCTTGTTACAATGTGAGCAGCATTTACTTCATGCTTTCAGGACTCCTGCTTTAGAGAACACGTCTGTGATGTCTTGCATTTTGGGAGAATCCAAAAGCCAGGCTGAGACGCAGGACAGCCCGTGGGGGTTGAGAGTATTATGGGGCTGTGGACATATCCCCTCTGACCACGGTACACAGATCACCTAGCCTTTTAGAGCCAGATGTGTCTGCCTCTCAGCCTTTTTGTCTTTTGGGAAATCATTATTGCGTTGGTCTGTAGGAGAAGTGACCCCCATAGAGTTTTGTTTTTGCTTTTTAATGTTGGAGAAACTTTTTAAAAGGAGAACAGGAATATTAGAGCCAACCAGACAGCCTCTATGCATCTCTCCCCAAGGTTCAGGGGACATATAGCTCATTTCTTTGCTATTAGTGACTAATTAGGTTAGGTTCCTGAATCTTGAGACCCCCCCGCCATGGGTTCTTTATAAGTTTTACCAATCATTATTTGTAAGCAGAACAACAACTTGAAGGACTATCCTACTAAGTTGTAAGTTTTCTCTTCTGTAAAATGGATGGTGACTGAGCCAGTACCTTCTCATGATAATAAGAAAGGACATCTGATATAATGGTGGCCATTTTTATGAGTATAGTCATAAGTAGGAAATGATCTCTAAGTTTAAAGTTTCTTGTGCTTTGGAAGAAGTAAGAATTCTTAAAATATTTTAAAACTTGGGAGAATCATAGGTTTCTTAATTGCACAACACAAGTTAATTGCTAGCAAAGAGACACCATTTTCATTAATGCCTTTTAAATACTGAGCAAGAAAGTAGTGATTTAAATTGTATTGAACTGAAAGGCAGTAAAATAAAGTGGTTAATACCTTAGGCTCCAAGTCAGACACAGGGATAAATCCAGCCTTTGCCTATGTTTGATCATACATAAGTTACTTTATCTTATTCTGATTCAGTTTATCATTTATAAAATGGGAAATACAATAGTACTAATCACAGAGGTTGATGAAAGAATTAATTGACACATAAGATATTTAGCACAGTGCCTAGAGTTTAGGAAGCATTCAGTAAATGTTATCTGCTCTGTCATTTGGGATTTATAGTAATAGGAAACCCAACTCTAACCTACAAAATAAAAAGAAGGGACTTATGACAAACCGAAATGTTTAGTAGTTGAATGAACTTCAGGTATGGTTTGATCCAGGTACAATGCTTGTTGCCCATGATTCTTTCAGCCTTGTCTTGTTCATGTATTGGCTTTTGCTCTAGCTGGTTTCTTCGCTCATGATAGCAGATAGCTGCAGCAGTTCCACAGCTGAGATCCACATATGAACCCATCCAGAAAGAAAAAAACATTTCTCATCTCCACCAGCTATCAAAAAAAAAAAAAAAATTCCCAGTTTGCACTCTGATAGATTAATTTAGGGTCGGTGCCCTCCCCCAGTGCCTGCACTGAATGGCACAGGGAATGGGATTATAATTCAGGCATTCTCAGTGGGAGTGATAGGACCCCCAAGAAGCAAAAATTATTTCTTGGGAGTGGGACCGAGGCACAAAAAAATCTTACTCTTTTTGTGTATAAAACACAGATATCCATACCTAAACAGATACACAGTATACTTTCGGCATTAGAATTTGCAGGGGGTGGGGATGACTAGCAAACAAAAAACTATCTACAAGGCTCCTTAAGACTATGATAATGAATATAACTGTTGAGAAACACTAATTACACTGATGTGCTTAGGCCAGTGGGGGAGCAGACCCATTTCTGCAGCTGGGCGTGAGGTTAGTCCCAGGCAGACCACATAGCTGCCAAACAATGGGGGAGGGTCAGTGCTCGGTTGGGGGGCAATCCGCAATGTCCACTGCACCTGCCTTCTTAGAATCTCAAATCTAGAGCTCTTTAAACAAAATATTTTTCTAGGTAAGTACAAAGATTAATGGCAAACACATTTCCAAGTATTTTGCCACAGTAATTCAAGTTAACGGGGTGGGGACTCATCATTAAAACACCCTTATTGCTATCTAATAATTATGATTTCTAAATCAATGTTCAGTGGTCCTGCCCGGTTTACTGGCACATGAACTGGAAACACCATAGGGTTACATATTTTATTGAACCCCATTTTTTTATCATCTCGATAATAAAAAAGGTGTCATTCTTCTTGCTTTTGGGCTGAATAGTCTTTGTGGGAAATCCAGGGCTCAGTCACTCCAGAGAGAAATAAGGTTGGTGGGGGAGATATTCGTTACATGAAATACCTCGCAGTTCCCTGGGGGTATTTTGTTTATTCATATACTATAAGTGAAATAAGATCCTCCACCTATTCATACGGAATTTGGCAACAACATCATTGCCTGGCTGGTACAGCTGGGAAGGCATAATTTCTTTGGAATTGAACACTTCCTCTACCTCTAGATACTGGAGAGGCATGAGACTTAATTTGCCAAAAACCATGAATAATTAAGAGACTAGCTATAAGGCATTTCTGTAGTAACACGACTAAATAAAGAGCGGGCAGAAGCTGTACTAGGGCTGCCTTTGAACAAAGACTTACTTTATGAGTGAAGGTTTGAATTTGGTTCAAGTCGCAGGCTGGGACATTCACCTTCAATTTGGGACAAAATCTTAAAAGCTGATTCATCCGCCATATATCTATCCTGCTGATATCTTGCCTGGGTGGGTTCCGTCATAGCAATTAATTAAGTTTAACAAACAACTGAGGTGGAAAATGATGGGAGAATGTGGCTGAAAAAAATCAACACCCTTTGCTTTTTATTCAGTGTGACATGTTCTAACAAAGCCCTCAGTTGGTTACTTGGGATTAAGTTTTCCCCTCATCCCCAACACCTCAAAGGTAGAATTTCTTGCTAACCCTGAATGGAGTGGTTGTCTCAGCAGGAGGTAACGTGGACAGAATCTGAGATATTTAAGTGACCGTAAGAGGCTGGGTCAGCTCCCCTGAGGCAGGCAGTTGGCCCCGAGGGGTAGCAGACAGAGCAGACCAGGCAGAGGCTGTAGGCTCTGAGTTTAGCAACTTTGACCTTGACCAAATTGCTTTCCCTCTTTGAGCCTCCTGGGTAAAAGGGGAGAACTTTAGTACCTGCATAATGGGCAGGATGAAAAATTCATGAGATAATATTTGTAACACTGAACATCCTGCCTGGCACAAGCAAATGCTCAATTAATGTTAGCTCTTGGGTATGTATGGTACTTAACACCAGACCCATGGAAGGTCCTTGATGAAGGGTAAGGCTAAGGGAATTACTATTGTTTTTATAAGTGATACTAGTTCTGTGGAAACTAAATTCCCATCTTTGCAGGCAAGGATGTTAAGGAAGAGAGACTATGTATAGGGTGAGCCTTGGGATTTGCTCTTGTAAGCCAATACAAAAACTCTAGGAGATCATAGACAGCTCCCATTAGGGTCTCTAAGGAAATAATCTCTCTATATCCAAGACTCTGATGATCCATAAACTGGTAACACATGAATTTTGCCTCCCACTACATTGGCTGGGAAAGACCAACTCCCCCAAAAGAAAAGTTCCCCATTGAGCATTCTGTGGCCTGTGTGCATCTCAAATCATGTATATTTTGCTTATCCCCAGCCCTCACTCTCCATAGCCCTCTGAATTACACAGACTAGAAGAGGGGCGGACAAACTGCGACCCACAGGAGAAAACTGTCCTCTCGTTTTTGTAAATAAAGTTTTATTGGCACACAGCCCTGCTCATTCATGTACATGTTGTCTATGGTTGCTTTTGCATTACGGTGGCAGAATTGAGTCGTTGTGCCTTAACTACTTACAGCCGAGTAGTTGACAAAAAGACTGTATTGGC